AGACATTTCGAGCCGTTTTTCGAGCCCAGATTTCAGTGTATTTAGGTGAATTTTGGTGCTTTATAGTTTGTTACTGTCCACAGAAAAAGTTTGTGTGGCTGCTGCAAACTTTCACTTCACATTCATTTTTATACATGCTGACTTGTGCATAAAACATGGCGCCGCACAGTTTTTGTGTGTACGCACGCTTTATACCCCTGGTCTGGTTCTGGGATAACAGTCCAGGACAGTCCTTGTTCAGATTTTTGAATCGATTAGTTCTGATGGAACCAGTACAGATTTTTAACTAAGACAGACTCTGACCCTATTTGGTTCTTTTTTAACACCTTTGGGTAGTAGACAATAGAGCTGCTGCTGCAGGCCCTCTGGCTTCCAGCTTGGTTCCGTTGGGTCAGCTGTCCTGTAGCGCCACAGAACCTGTTAATCTGGTGCCATCGCAGCAAAGCCTGAGCCTGTGAAACACACCGATATCAGGACCAGAACATTAATTAGATTCCATGAAGAAAATCTGGAGTTCTGGTCTATCACAAAAAACAGAACAAGAAAGTCCAGCAGCAGTTACTCACTTTGGCGACTAGAGGTGCCTCAGCTCCTTCTAGGAGAAAGAAAGCTTTCCTGAGATCCATGAATGTTCCCTTACAATTCTTTACGATTGCTGCTGGATCCAGTTCTCCTGAAAACATATCAGAATCCAAATAGAATCCCCAGAACTCAATCAGGCAAAAACTTTCTCAAACTCTGAAGTGACAGACAGAAAGAGTCCAACATGCTCTTACCCACATCCAGACAGAACTGAGCATGGTTCTGCTCAGAACAGCCAATCAGGATGGATTCTTTTAGCAAGGATCCATCAGAACCACTTTTATGCAGAACTGACTGGACTTCTAGAAGATAAAGCCAAAGAACAATCATCAGGTTACCCTGCTACTCGCCCGTTGACTGCTGGAGATAAGCACCTGCTCCCCTGGTGACCCCCACTCCGCTCCACTAACTCAGACCTTCTCAACATACCCAAAACAAAACTAGGAACCATGGATAGAGCCTTCTCGCTCCACGTCTATGGAATGCCTGACCTGACACTCTGAGGGCACCACAATGTACTGACTGTTTTTAAAAAAAGGCCTTAAGATATTTCTTTTTAGCTGTTCTTTGTGATCTAAATATGAAAAGGGCATTATAAATAAAATCTATTATTATTTTTAAAGATAATAGATTTTATTTCAAATAAAATCTATTATTGTTTTTAAAGATAACTATGTTAGATAATGGATGTTCAGGTTCTACATTAGGGTTAGGTCTGAGGTACTATGTCAAGTTGTGTCTGTATCATTCTGGGTCAGAGGTTTGTCTCGTTGACTGATCTTGTACTTCCTTTTTTGAGGATGTCTATCTGAGGTTTGTTTTATTTTCTGAGGTTGTGTACCTGAGTAGCTGAGAGCAATAGGTCGAAAGGTTTCCGGAACACTGCACTGCAGCAGCGGCATGAGACGATGAAACAGGAAAATGTGCCCATTTTGCAGTGCTGAAAGACATGCTGCATCATTCTCCTTCAGCTTGTTTATGTACCTGAAGAGATCAATCAATCAATCAATCAATCAATCAATCAATCAATCAATCAATCAATCAATCAATCAATCAGTTGCATGTGAGCTCCTGAACCTAATTCTGGACACAAAGCCTGAGCAGAAACGGGTCAGACTGTAATGTCCTCCAAACAGAAGGGTCCTCAGGGGCCTTAATGCCGACATGCTGGACTGGATCATGCTCTGAACCTGAGAGCTATGGAAAGGCTGCTCTGGTTCTACTGCCTGCAGAAGGACAGCAAGGTAAAGTTAGGTACACAGAGTAGTGATGAGAAACAAGAAAAACTGTTCATCAGAAAAAGTGCAACACACAACAGCCCAGTCCTGTGAAGCACACTCACACAGCTCAAGGCTGGTGTTATTTTACAGAAAAGCAAAGTTTTGTCTGGTCAGAAAATAATATATTTCATGCTTTACGACATGACTGATTTGGATTTTAAAAACAAGTTCTGTTTGCAGTTGCAGTACTGAAGTATGAAAATGAACTATGCTACACTAAATAGTCATTCCCTCTAACATACAGTTGAAACCAGAAGTTTAAATACAGCAACTAAATAGACACACAGATTTTTTTTCTCATTGTCTGAAATTAAATCAGACCAAACTTATCTCATCTTAGATCAGTCAGAATAATCAAAATTAATTGTATTTGCTAAATGTTAGAAAAGTTATTGAGAACAATAACATTTACGCGCAATTGTGTCACAGCGCAAAGGTGTGCTCTTGCCGCAGCTACATTCTACATTTCAAAAATGTACGTACACTTGGTCAGTATCTGGGGTAACTGTCTTTTAAAAACTGTAGGACATGGGTCAAACCTTTTGAGATTTCTTGTACAAGTTTCTCACGATAGTTTGCTGGAGTTCTGACCCATTCCTACTGGATTAACTGAGTTGATTGTTGACCACCTGTTTCACAAAGACCAAACCAGGCACAGGAGGTGCAGCTGTGTCAGCCCAGGATGAAGTAATTCAGGTGAATATGTGTCCACAGATTTCAAGAGAACAAGAGATCATCCTTATATTGAGGATTATGAGGAATTGAAGCACATCATGCTAAGGGGAAAAAAACCCCTCCTGCTCCAATACAGGAAACAATAGTGGATCGATTGAATGCATATATAGCGTAAAATATACATTTCTAAACCATTCTTGAATAAAAAAAAACATCATAATCATACCTGTCATATACTCTATTAAACAACTTTAGCCAAATAAATGAACAGTGGAAGTCAATATTATAACATGTTAATCTGACAGCAGATTCATTCATGTTACTTTTTTCTGTCCTACCTCTTAGAAATATTTATACAGAACAAACACAATAGGTCAAGATTAAATATAATACTTTTGCAGTATCTGGGAAGTATGTGGATGAAATGTTGAGTACATTGTGTGCAAATAACTTAGAATGTATAAGCTATATCGATTTAATTAGCTTTACCGATGGTTAACTTCCTTTTTGAGTTGTGAGGTTTTTGTTTTGAAGGGACAATTTCTTGTTTAACTGTTTAAGCAAAGACAGTTTAATTAAGCTGACTGTTAGCCTGGTCTGGAGCAGGTTAGCTGCACAAAAGAAATCGCCACGGTAACTTATGTGTTCCCTGCTAGCAAGGAAATGTTCGGAGTACGTCCGTGAATGTAGTCTGAAAGTCGAACGTCGAATGTTCGGACCTGACGTTCAGCAAACGTTGTCTGAACATTCACTCTGAACATTCGTTTCCAAATAATTTTCTTTTTTTTTGTTTTTTTTGCTGTCATTTCACTTGATTTAGATTTTATATCTTTAAAACTTTTATGACTGTTATTATTTTTTATCAATTTTTTATTTTTCACTTCTTATACAAAGTGCATACTTCCGAATGTTATTTGAACGTTCTTGAACGTCTTCCGGACGTTTTCATAACTGCTGCTTTAAAAAAACTTCCAAAAAAAACGGAGGCATTACAAAGAGCTTTATTTCTCCCTACAAAATAAATTTTTAAGATTTTTTTGTTACTCTTGCTGTTATTCTAATGTAAACGTCTCTTCTGTCTTAATAAAAAATAAATAAATAAACAAATGTTCGGACTTGACGTTCGCCGAATTTTAATATATTTAAAACCTTTATGGTGGTTAATATTTCTGACAAAATCTCTCTTTTTTGTCATTTTAGAGAGTCTGAATGTTGTCTGAAAGTCATCTGTTCGTCCGTGTGTGTCGTTTAAAAATTGGGTTACTAGCTTCAATACCTTATTTAGCCAATAGGGGGCTCTACGCCCGTCTAAACATTATCCTCGCAATTCAAATAATGGTTTTAAGTCCGATTTTTCTCATTTCCTTTCCTGCATAATCTACATTGCATTTATTCAAACGCAATGTAAACGTATCTCAAAGGAGAGTAATACTTAAATAAAAGTCCAATAAGTACTTCCATTTGGAAAATATGTATTTTCTGCAGAGTGACGTCACTTCCCAACTCGGATTTCTGCAATTAAAAAGCAACGGAAGTGATGGGATCTACCTTGTTCGGTAAGTTATTAGTTTCCATACTTATTTCTTTCATATTCTAACCTGGCACGTGGTTAAAGTGTAAAAAGCCACATAATTTGTTGCCGATGCCTTTTGTGTGCGTTTGCTAAGCTTCGTCCTCCTTGAGCACGTGGCGCCATTATCTCATGACTTTTCAACCTCTATTATAAAGTTTGACTCGACCATAAATATTTATCTACGTGAAGTGTCCTGCTTTCCCCCCCCCTAATGTTACTTGTCCTGAGCCACCGAGTCAACATAACAGATAAGCAGGTAATCGGGAGAGTTTGAACGGACCGCTTCGTTCATATACTGAGGGCTGTAGGAAAAAACATCATGGCGTCAGTTCGCATGTCTACTACTGAGGAGAAGTTTAGCTGCTGGCAACAAGTACAGCTGAGTGGGAATTAAATTTTTCAGCACATAAAATTATAACATTTAAAAACTTGAGTTCTACATTGTACCTTTTAAAAAGCCAGATTAAAGAAAATAAATGCATTAATACTTTGTATCGCCAAACGTGCAAAGCTTACTGACATTTTCCAACACAGCCATGAGAGGCAGCTGGTAATGGAAGTTACACCATTTAATTTTCCTTTGGAATCAATTAAATATTTTTGAATTTAATAATTTCTTTTTAATCCATAGCTGGAATCTAACTGACAGCAGAATCTAGAGCAGGGGTGGGCAACTCCAGGCCTCCGGTCTCCTGCAACTTTTAGATGCGTCTCAACTTCAACACACCTG